CCTCCTAGTTACCTTCCAAAATTGAACTCCAGTCACCTTCTCTGGTAGGCTGACCCTGCCGCCCTTCTACTCAATCTAATTTAGATTTCCCTCCTCTGTGCTCCCACAGCAACCCACCTATACATATCTTTATCATAGCACTTAACAACTGTACCACAATGTTTGCTTGTTTGCCTTTCTACAATAGAGATTTAAGATCTTCAAGGGCAGAAAAGACGTTTACTTTGACCTTACAGCCTTAAGACCTCTGTGCATGGTACATGGCAGTCTTTCAATAAACAGTTTTTAGATATGTGGGTTCCCATTTAAACAGGATTCTACATAAATATGACACAATTTTGCAAAATCTTATATTTTAAAAACCACTACTGATTCATTTACCTAACTATTCCTAATAGATGTATCTATTCTCAATATGGCCAGTCGCCACTAATTATTATTACCTATTCCAGTAATAGTTTGAAGTTTCTGTTCCACATTTAAAGTTTCTGGTACTTCTGCATTTACGAATTTATCTTAGAACCTGTATCTGTTGACTCTCCCTCATGGCAATTCATTTCCTTTAGTATTTATGTTTCATGTTCATCTTTGGTAGAAATTATTTTACAGAAATCCCTAGTACCCTGGGTTGTAGATATGTTCCTTCAAGTTTGGTTTTGAATTTGCTTGTGCCAGCACCATAGGGTTTCAAGAACACAAACTCAACTTCAATGTTAAATTCCTAGCTTGGGGTGGAGGGAGGGTTATTGCTGGGACCACACCTATGGTGCATCTTACAAGGATACTCGTGAAATTTACTAAATGTAGAATATAAATGTCTTAACACAATAACTAAGAAAATGCCATGAAGGCTATGTTAACCAGATTGATGAAAATATTTCAAATTGTATATAAAACCAGCACATTGTACCCCATGATTGCATTAATGTACACAGCTATGATTCAATGATAGTAAAAAAAAAAAAAAAAATCCTAGCTTGGGAGTCCGAAACTATGTAGGTAGTGAAAATTTCTTACAAATGACTTTTCTGTTCCTGTCCAGACCCTTGTTTAGACCTCCTTCCTTGTCTCTTCTTTGAACCATGGGCAAAGTACCCTTTTCATGAACTGGGAAGACCACTGAAATTTCTAGCTTGATATATGTTCTTGGTAACAGCTTCCAGCCTAGTAGGTCCACAGCCATGCTTCCTATACCCTCCTAGGCATTAAAATATGAGCTTCCGAGCTGGGCATGGTGGCTCATGCCTATAATTCTAGCAACTCTGGGAGGCTGAGGCAGAAGGATTGCTTGAGCTTGGGAGGTCAAGACCAGCTTGAGCAAGAGTGAGGCCCCATCTCTACTAAATATAGAAAATTAGCCAAGCATTGTTGTGGGAGCCTATAGCCCCAGCAACTTGGGAGGCTGAGACAAGAGGACAGCTTGAGCTCAAGAGTTTGACGTTGCTGTGAGCTATGATGATACCAGGGCACTCTAGGACAAAAGAGTGAGATTCTGTCTCAAAAAAAAAAAAAAGATTCTAGTCCAGTGTTTTCAACCTTTTTTATCTCATGGCACACTTGAACCTATAGTTAAATTTCCATAGCACACTTAAATTATGTCAATCAAGGTTCAGCGCGTGTAGCTCCACGGGCTAGGGAGCCAGCCAAATACACTGGAGCTGGTGGGTTCAAACCCTACCTAGGCCTGCCAAACAACAGTGACAACTACAACAACAACAAAATAGCCAGGCGTTGTGGCAGGTGCTTGTAGTTCCAGCTACTTGGGAGGCTGAGGCAAAAGAATTGCGTAAGCCCAATTTGAAGTTGCTATGAGCTGTGACAACAAGAACTCTACCCAGGGTGACATAGTGAGACTCTGTCTAAAAAGAAAAGAAAAAAAATTATGTCAATCAAAAACAAAGAATACAAAAAGAATATACTGCCAGACGCGGTGATTCACGCCAGTAATCCTAGCACTTGGGAGGCCAAGGCAGGTGGACTGCCTGAGCTCACAGGTTCAAGAGAAGCCTGAGCCAAAGTGAGACCTCATCTTTAAAAATAGCTAGGTGCTGTGGCAGGTACCTGTAGTCCCAGCTACTTGGGAGGCTGAGGCAAGGGAATCGCTTGAGCCCAAGAGTTTGAAGTTGCTGTGAGCTAGGATGCCATAACACTCTCTCAAGGGCTACAAAGTGAGATTCTGTCTTAAAAAAAAAAAAACAATAAAAAAACAGAATATACTCACCGTGCTTTGAACTTCTTTTGAAAATAATTTAATTAACAATCTCTAAAAATTTTTGTGGCACACTTAAGATCCTCTCATGGCACCCTAGTGTGCTATGGCATGCTAGTTGAAAATCACTGTTCAAGGCTCTACGGCCTAAGTACAGGTCTGATACCAACCCTATATCTGTAGGTTCTCATTTAAACAGAATGCTACAGAGATACTGGGCCACTCAAACCACTCTGGCTTTTGAGTTTGTGTCACTCTTGTCATCTGAGAGTTCTCTTTTATCATTCCGAATTCAACTATGTTTTTCTTTTCTTTTCTACTTTTTATTCTTTATTTAATATGCTTCCCAGGAAAAGTATCAACTATAGTAGTCATGGGAAAGGGGGCCTTGTAAGTTCCATCTACCACATTCCGAGAACACATCCTCCTAAATATATTTCACTTTTTTCCATTTCTTCCACCATCATCTCAGTGCCATCCATGGTTCTCACTCATGTGTCTTTCTTCTGCAATGGTCTCCTTACCAGTCATCTGGTGTCCATTCTAGCCCATTTTCCCTTGTCCAATTCATATGCAATACTGAAGCCAGAGTTTAAAGCCAGTACTTTAGAAAAATAGAAGTCAGGTTATTTGCTTTTTTGCTTAAAATCTTCTAAGTAGCATATGACCCAGAAATCTTACCTCTAGGTATACACCCAATAGAAATGAAATCATATGCCCAAACAAAAACTTGTATACAAATGTTTATAATAACAGTATTCACAACAATCGAAAGGTGGAAACAACCCAATGTCCATCAACTTATGAACAGACAAATAAAATATAGTATATCCATACAATGGAATATTATACCATAAATGAAATAGAGTGCTGATATATGCTACAATATAAATGAACTTTGAAAATATTATATTAAGTGAAAAAAGTCAGTCACAAAGGATCACATTTTGATTTCATTTTATAAAATGTCCAAAATAAGCAAATCAATAGAGACAGAAAATATCCATAGATCAATAGTTGTGTAGGTTTGGGGAAAATGGGGATATGGGGTGGTTCCAATAGCTAAAGGGTACAGGATTTCTACTTAAAGTGATGAAAGTGTTCTAAAATTGATTGTAATGATAGTTGCACAATCTATGAATATACTAAAAAGCAATGAATTATACAATTTAAGTGAATTGTATGGTATTCAATAGATATTTGTGGATCAAATACAACTTATAAAATAAAATCAAGGCCAAGTATGGTGGCTCGTGTCTATAATCCTAACACTCTGGGAGGCCAGCACAGGAGGATCCCTTGAGGCCAGGAGTTCAAGACCAGCCTGGGCAATATAGCAAGACACTATTATCTATAAAAATAAAATAAAATAAAATAAAACCAAAATCTATAGCAGGTACTATGTTAAATTCCTAGAAGGCAGTAACTATCAAAGTTCATCTAAATAATAGTTCATGCAACTAGGTATTTAATAATGCAGTTTGTAAATGAATCTAATTTGCCCTTCTTTTCTGGGATCATGATCTTAATGATCAATTTAACTCATTTTACTTCTCTCAGCATAGAAAAATTGTTTAAAGAGAATTTTTTAACCAAATGAAAATATTACTTTTGAATTTAGTTTCTAAATGAAACTAATAGTATCTAAAATATATGTGACCTATTAAATACACAAACATTAACTATTCAAGATTGATTTATTAATATTTCCTTGGCTGGAGGCCAATTAAAAGAGGACAATTATTAGCTCTGAAACCTATTAGATCAGAAAATTGGTTTCCTTCAATTTTTTACCTAAAGAAATAAAACGAAAGAAAGAAAAGAAGGAATGAAAAGAAGAAAAAGTACTACTTTCCAACTTACTTAACATTTCCTTTCCTTTCTCAAAATGTATCTTTATAATAGACACATTAGAGTTGTCCTTATAATAAACAAACATAAAAAGTTTAACTCACATCTTACAGATTTCTTTTACTTACTACACATCTATACACACCCAAAAATATGAAATCTTCCTTTGAATATTCAAAATCATATGAAATCAAACTGAAATCTAATTTTGATAAGATTTTATCTGTTTTTCTGCTTTTAGATGGATAATTATGACCTTAGTCTTTAAGTACATCTGAAACTCTCAAATGGAGTATATTCTATTTTTTATACTTCTTCAAGTGGGAGAAAATGGCCCATTCTCCCTTGGTCACATCTTCCACAGCTTCTCTTAATCCTGACAATCAAAAGTTCTTCTTAGCTTCTACCTTAAATTTCTCCTATGTCAATTCACAATTGTTCTCTCATAACTTCTCTCTGAAGAATTTATAAGACAGCCAGTCTCTATCCTTCTACCATATCATCGCATACTATTCATTTCCTTTTCTGGTATTCTTCTCAAATGAATTAAAACTTGATATCCTAGCTCTATTTCTTTGAGCCTTTTTATCATATTGTTACTTTTTTTTGCTGCAGAGAAGTCATCATAGGCTACTCAGAACAAAAGATCCTTCTCAATGCTTCAGGCTATCCATCACAAAAATGCAGAAATAATGCCTAACTATCCTTATCACAAGACAAATAGAAAAAAGATATGCCCTATACCCATAAGAGAATAAGTGTCTGTGTTAAATTGAGATCACCACCAAAAATCACCCAGAGGCAAAAGACAAACCCAAACAATAATATGAAGAACTATTTTCATAAATTTATTTCAGATTGAGAAAAAGACTTTATGTCTACTCCTGTATCTTCTAACGCAAAGGAGAATCCCACAAGTCAAATCAGTAACCTAACATACCTCCTCTTCTCCCTGGCTTCCACAGAGGAGTCTGTTCCAGTAGTGGGGAGCACAGTGGCAGTTGTAACCCCACTGGCAGTGCTAGGTGAAGGACGATTGGTGATCACACAGAGCGGAGTGGTAGAAGAGACACTGTCTGCTGTTTTCTCTGCTATTGAGTCAGCTTGGGATTTGTGAGGAATCCTGAAATGTAAAAAGAAACAGGCAGAAAGAGAATGCTTAGGTATGCTACCCAGCAAAGCCCTGGTACAAAGATAAAATGGTTAGGGAGAGGTTTAACTAGAGAATCTTCTTGCTCAGATTTTGTTTATTGGTTTGTATTTTATTTTGAGCTCTTAAACTTGAAACAGCATGATTATATATTTAGTCTGCCATTCCTTTTCCTGAGGAGTTATATTTTATGAGATTTTTTTTTTTTTTTTGGCCAGAGATTAAAAAACAAACAAAAATCATTAACTATGGCATAAGACAACATAGTGACACATGCAAGAGTGCTTTAAATGACTCCCTAGTAGCATCTGGACTCCACACACATACACATAGAAATGGGCCTTCTTACACATAAAAAAAAGACACTAAAGTCACTTACGATATTACACCTGTCCCTTAATTTTTGGCAGTGGGAGTCTTTGTGGTAGTCCTCAGCCTAGATTTGACGACCATCTTCTTCGGATTATCCAGAGACAATTGATAAATACTCTATAATCTCAGTTTAGTTCTCCCTCACCTAGTTCAGCAACAGCTCTCTTTCCACTTAACCAAATGTCCAGTTGTTTATATTCATAACTGCCTAAGTGAGGAATTGAAAGAAAAACCCAAATAGGATTCTACATATAACCTTAACTAAAGACTTTTCAACAACAAGCTGTATAATTAAACTCATTTACATGAAAATAAGATCTTTGTTTTTTAACAAAGAGTTGGGAGCAACCATTGGCTCTCTACCCAAAAAGCTATCATTTGTGATGTCACAGCTCGTTGCTGGGTAACAGAGATCCAAAATTGATACTTACGGAGATGCAGAAGCATGTATATTAAAATCTGTTTTTTCCACCTACTCTCAATTATCAGAAATGTTCACAAGTAGCTATAAGCTTACTTCCAAATAATATTATTAGAATAAGCTTGAAAGAAGTAATCAAAACATAAAAATCCAAAATAAATATGGTATTTAGATACAAACATAAAAATAGAATACTTTTAAAGATGGAAGCGGTATCTAAATACAAGCTACTTCTCCAGAAGCAATTAATGACTCAGAAAAAAAGGTGAATTTATGTATTTATTCATGCATATATGTATATATTTATTTACTTATTTTGGAGACAATGTCTTACTTTATTACCTAGGCATTGCAGTGGTGTCATCATAGCCCACTGCAACCTCTAACTCCTGGGCTCAAGTGATCCTCCTGCTTCCAACTCCTGAGTAGCTAGGACTACAGGCACAGGCCACCATACCCAGCTACTTTTTAAAAAAATTTTTTATAGAGATGGAGTCTCATTATGTTGCTCAGGCTGGTCTTAAACTTCTGGCCTTAAGCAATCCTTCTCCTTTGTCCTCCCAAAGTGCTAGGATTACAGGTATAAGCCACCATAACTACCCTACATTTATTTTTTAATTAAAAAAATTGAAGAAAAAATTCCTTAGACTTAAAAGATATGAGTCTCATAAATTAGCCAGAAACACAGCTATAAAAAATTATACTTATCAAAACCTTACTTGTTCTTTTTTAAGTTAATAACATATTTTGGTCTTTTTATAATTTCTTATGCTATAGAAATGCCAAAGATTGGCGGCACCTGTGGCTCAGCAGCTTGGGTGCCAGCCACATACACCCAGGTTGATGAGTTTGAACCTGGCCTAGGCCTGCCAAACAATGACAACAACAACAACAACAACAAAATAGCTGGACATTGTGGCAGGTGCCTGTAGTCCCAGCTACTTGGGAGACTGAAGCAAGAGAATCACTTAAGTCCAAGAGTTGAAGGTTGCTGTGAGCTGTGATGTTACAGCACTCTACCAAGGGCAAACTAGTGAGACTCTGTCTCCAAAAAAAAAAAAAAAAAAAAAAAAAAATGCCAAGGATTTAATTTTACTACATTATATAACATGACTTTTTCTATTATTTTGAAATGTGATGTGATTTTATAAGTACATCATCAGGAGGAGAAAAGGAAAAACTCTAGAACAGGGGTCAGAGGCTATGTAATAGAGTAGAATAAATATGGGCTTTAGAACCATTTGAAACTACATTTAAGCCAATTTAACCTCTCTGAACCCTAATGATACAGGGTTCTTAAAACAATTAAATAAAATAATATATGTACAACACCTTAACTAGGAACCAGAATAAATTATAAACTCAGTGGAAACAAAACAGTGACAAAATAGACAAGAGCTTTGAAACAGACAAATCTGAGTTCAAATCCCACTTTAGTTCCTCACTGGGTATGTGACCCTGAGCAGATGATTAAGGTTTTGGTTTCAGTTTCCTCATCTATAAAATAATACTTCTTATACTGGGGGGCTCGTTACGAGACTATAATATGTGTGTGTCTGAGACAGCTAGTTACCCAACCCATAACCATTGTCCTTTTCTTTCTTACTAAGAGAATTCTATATTAGTGAGGGCCACAATGAACCTAGTTAAAATTCACATTCAAAGACTCCCTGACTGCCAAAGGTATTCAATGAGATATAAGCAGAAAACTAGTACTTTTAGGAAAATTCTCAGTTCAGAGGTATTCCCTCCTTGCTTGCTTCTACCTTTCTTTCTTCTTCCTGCCTAGAATGCAGCCATGATAGCTAGAGTTCCAGCAGTTATTTTGGACTGTTTAGTAACCCATAGAAATTGAAACCATGATGTTAACATTGTGGCGCAGAAAGACAGAAAGAACCTGGATCCTTTAATGACTTTTGAGCTACTGTGCCAGCCTTGCCTATCACTGGAATTCCTAAAGTGCCAGAAAAAAGTTAATCTTTATCTTATTGAAGCCACCATCCTTTGGATTCACAGTTATGTATTAATAAACCAAATCCTAATATAATTTTCATACAGTACCTAACACAATACCTATCACATAAAGGGGTTCAACAAATGGCAGCTATGATTTCTCTACCCTAATTCTAGCTGTTAACAGTTACTCAAGTAAACCCTATGTTTCAATTTCTTCATCAAAGGTAATAACATTTACTATGTCTATACAACTGGATTATTATGGGGACATAATATATTTCTACCAAATAATACGTTATTAATAATCCATCATAATCCTGTCCTCCCTGAACAAATTAATGATCACCATTTATTCACTTGTTTAGGGGAAAGAAACTTAGCTGACAAATATCAATCATGGATCCCCACCATGGATGGGTGTTCTTATAGCAACACTATCATTATTAACATGTTTTAATTTTCTTTGTGTTAGTTGTGGAAACAAGACTCAAACTAGGAGACTCTTTGCTATACCCAAAGCTAAAAGATCTTTAACCATACATAAAGAACTAAAACCCACAAGTTAAAATCACAGCCATAGTTCTGCTGTACTTTCACAGTAACTATCCCTTAAGATACCGCCCATAACATGGTTTAGACAAACATACATCTCTCCCTTCTCACAGTGTTTCTAGCACAACACTCATTGGCTGGAAGTTTTTTATTATTTTTTATTTTTTTTAACTTTATTCAAATTAATATGAGGGTATAATTGTTAGGTTACATTGTTATCACTTCCAGGGTAAAGTTCCATTTGTAGAAGAGCCCCTTGCCCAGGGGGCGTGTTATACACCCTCACAATGTGCACATTAGGTGAGAATCCACCTCCTGCGCTCCCTCCTTCTCCCCTCTCCCCCGTCCCACTTTCCTCTACCCCCAAACTGGACTATAATAGTGTTTTACTGTTTTTAGGAACATGTAATTGTTTATATATTGATTTCATATAAGTATGGAATACATTGGATATTTATCTTTCCATTCTTGCAATCCTTTACTGAGAAGAATGTATTTCAACTCCATCCAGGTAAAAGATGTAAAGTCTCTGTCCTTTTTAATGGATGCATAATATTCCATGGTATACATATACCACAGTTTGTTGATCCATTCACGAGTTGATGGGCACTTAGGTTGCTTCCACAACTTGCAAGTTATGAATTGAGCTGGCTGGAAGTTTTTAGAAGGTTATGGGAGGTTTTTGGAACATGAGTTAGTGTTACTTCTGATTTAGGTTTATGTGCTGTCTTCCAAAAAGATTAAATACAAAAGATTCCTGCTCATAATTACTAGACAATTAAAATATGTCAGTACTTTTTGTATTTAACTTACCACAATAGTATGACCCTCAAATTATAATCACAACTGGTAAGGTTGATGAGAGATGAAAGCACTCATAGTTAGTTGACACCTAAATACCAAGTACAGTGACATATACCTTCTGATTATTCAATAAGTAACTGCTGACTGGCTAATAAAAGTCAAAGCAAAAGCATCTTCATTAAATTATGGACATTTTTACAGCAATTCAAACTTGTTTTCTACAGAGATGAAGTCTCTTTGGTTGAAGTTTCATATGTGTTTCCAGAGGCATTAACTTTGATGAATGCAACTCAAATGGCTCCAAGAAGCCTTACCTGCCATGGTGTACAGATGCAGTAGTGTTTGCACTGATTGGTGCAGGGCAAGAAGAGGCAGGTTGCCCTTGGTTGCCCTGAGAGGTAGATGAACCAATGGTAATGGGTGAGGTAGCAGGAGATGAATTGCGATTGGCTGAAATGTAGGGACTTGTGGGGTCACTACTTCTACCAAATGAAGCACTGCAAAATAGCACACAGTCACTTTCTTCAGGACATGCTGTTCACCCACCATTTCCCAGTACCACCTTCCCACCCAGAATGTGCATTTAAAAAGAATGTAGGTAGACCAAGGAGAGGGTATGACAACTGGGAAGTGGAGTGATCAACTCCAGCTAGAGCTGGGTGGCTGGCAGCAAGCAGGCGATCATCCAAAAGAGTGAAGAAATCATCACTCTTTGAAGGATGATCTCTGGTCAAACATCCACAAGAATGAAAGAAGGTGAAGGAAGAGAGATGATATTTAACAAGGAAACACAGGAAAGGAGAATATATCACAAGAACAGAGGCTAAGAAAGGGAAAGAATAGCAGATAGAAAAATTTTATTAGAAAAAAATAATTCCCAACAAATCCAAGGCAAAAAATCATGCAACCCCAAATGTCTACCTGACACAGAAATAGCACTGCAAAAGCTAGAGTAAGACCAGAGAATTTGAGGAGGTTTGGAACAGAGATTTAAGTTAAAAAGTAAAGAAGAGTAAAGATGCTCTGTTAAAAAATCATTTTGAGAACTGCATTTATTTACCTAAAGCAAAAATGCCTTTGGGAGGATATGAAGTGTTAAGTCTGGAAAGTAATACTGTCTGAGCAATATTGAAGACAGGTAAGAACCGACTCAACTGTAGCAAAAAATTATTTG